GACCCCATATCCTATCCTCCATGTCCTGCCTTGTGATATTCTGCCTTCTGGGGTATGTAGTGTGTCTTGTGTGTCGTATGTGGTGGATAGTGAGCGGATGTGACTGGTATACAGTGAAAATACAAGAAGGTGTATCGTATGAATCGAAATGTACATGATGGCAGGGAGTAGGGGTGACGGAAGGGTAAAGGGCATGTGCGTTAGGGGATCGTGTCTGTATGCATGATGGTGAAAATAGGGGAAGGTGGTGGGGAGAGAAGGTGCGAAGGGCGTCAGAGACATGTGATTCATCGGGTATGTTAAATTCAGACGAGTGTGGGAAGGGTAGGGAGGATGTACAGATTTAAAGTTGGTGGGACAGGACGAGGGTGTACAAGGAAAGCGTATCGAGAATACAGGAGGGGTATGAGTATGCGAAGGGTAGAGGAGCAAATGGGCAGGTACAAGAAGTGGAGTATGATGTCGAAGATTATGGCGGTGATGGCGGAATGGCGGTGGATGGCCTGGCTGTCTGGGATATCGTGAAAGGGTGAGTTGTGGAGAGCGTTCGTGTCTTGCGAGGAACGAACATAGTGATCGTGAATGGCGTGAAGATGAAAGAGATAGGGAAATAGGACGTGATATTGTGATATGGTGGAGGTGTCGTAAAGGTATGCTTGGAGGAGGAGTGTGTCGGTGGGTGAGGAGCGGGAAGTGGTTGTATCTTTTGGAGTGCTGGGAAGCTGAGAGGCATATCGACTCGATATTATCGAGTCGGTGGGTGTGATGAGGGCGGATGATGGTATGGTAGAAGTGTGGAAGTGTCGAGTATATTGGGCTGTAGATGGCTTGGGAGAGTGTACCGAAAGATGTGGATCGTGAAGGGTTGGTGTTTTGTGAGATGCCGAGATGCTGAGGTGAATGGCGAGTCGATGGGTGTGATGGAAAGGGGATGTTGGAAAGGATGTTGGGTAGTGGTGGTGTGAAAGGGTCGAGGTGTTGTGGAGGAGTGTGTTGGTAGATTAAGAGTAGTCGCATGTCGTTCATGAAGGTGGTGTAGGAGGTAAGTGTAGAAGTGGTATGTTATAAAGTTGGTGATCGAATAGTTGTGTGCCGGTTGTCCATGTGTCATCGCAGTATCGTCACCGTCTATTTTCTTGTCCAAATACCCAGAACATGATCCGACTCTTGCTTGTTTTCATGGACTGGGCCGAAGCGCAGCCAAGCAACAATACTCACTCAATACTTAGCCTTGTATTCAAGACAAAGAGATCTTCTTGTTTTCAGAGCACAGTTTTTGAGCATAGAGTAACCAGAGAGTGGACTTACTGCGACATATTGCCAGACGGACATGCGGTTGGCACCACCACCGGCTTGGCTGGAGTTACCGGCCGCAGAGACGTTACATTGGGCTTCATCGACCTGAACCCTCAGGATGAAGAAGGCAGCACCGCAGCGGCAGTTGATATCATAATCGATACCGAAGTAGAGGTATGGGGCACCTGGTGCAGTTGTGCTGCAGTAAGTTCGGCAAGTCTGCTGTGTGACGGGCGTAGAGGCTGAGTCCCTGAAGATGGCGCCGGTGCTTGGGTCGAAGAGGCGGTTACCGGTTCCGTTTGCGTTGGCCTCGCCTTGGTTGCAGCTGAGGTAGGAGTTGGGAGGGAACGCGGTGATTAAAGCGGTTGTGGCGGGCGGCGTAGTGTCCTTTTGATTCAGTCAGCATTGCTGCCAGAGGCAGTAGGTTAGACTGTCTCATATGCTCAAAAGTGTGCTCTGTGCTTTACAAACATGAAGAAAGAACATATGAAAGCTGCTGGTTAGTAGTCTGCCATCTGCCGACATGGACAGTGGCGAGAAAGTTTGAAAAGGTCTTGACTGTCAGTGTACAACGAGAGACTGAGAGCAAGCGATGATGGGTAAGAGATGGACCGCTATGCCGTTATATACTCTGGAGTGCTCAATCAATGTAGAGTGGAATGTGTTGATCAATGCCTTTGGATTCCAGGGCTGTGAGGGCGTCCAGATGGATGGGTCCGTGCGGCAAAGGAATGGAGCCCAACAGAATGCTCTCCATCGACATTAGAACCATACTAGGGCAGTCCCACACATTGAAAATGTTTCCCGAATAGGTCGGAAGGTATGCAGGGTTATTGGCAGAAGGGATGCTTGGCACGAGTGCGCATACCATGTTGCACCAGAACTTCCATAATCCTCTCGATTACGTACGAAATGCATCTCAAATATGTACCTAGATACCTACTCGCCACTTGCGTTTCGGCCTCCTGAATCTGGGCAACCTCATCTTCTTCAGTTAGGTCTGCACCTCTTTCTTGCCACATGGGGATCAATTTGCCTCGCCCGCGGCTATCCGATCGACTTAGTAACGATTGCTGATGCAAAAAGGGCAACCATTCATTCTTGATAAAGATAATCTCTACTTTTATGCTCCTGCGTAATAGATATTTGTAGAATATACGGTTGGTCGACAACTATACCTTTGCTCTCCAGTTCCAGCCCACAAGTGCTACACGGGTCGCTATGAGGAGGCATCCGCCAACGAAGAAGGACATGCCCGCCCAAATATTCGCATACGTATAGCTGCCATGATGAATCTGAATGAGCGCTCCTGCCAATGGTGGACCCGTGAAGCTTGAAATGCTCACCACAGTGAACGCCATGCCCATTCTCACACCCGCTTTTTTCAAATCCCTTTCTCGACTCATACTTCCAATGACAGCCGGCCATAGCGCTTGTATCACCGCGCTGCCACTTCCGTATACGACAGCGAACACGTATAGCGTACCTATAGACTTGATGCCGATCCATGCAAACATCATGATTCCGCATATGAAGGCAAACGGAATCAACACATTGAGACCTCCTATTTTATCGGCGTAGTAGGTAGGCAACAATCGGAAAATAAATCCCATGCATACCTGTACCAGGAGTAGATTGATGCTTTGTTGATAAGTAGCACCGAGGACATTACGGGCATAGCTTCCGATGTAGAAAAATGCAAAGTACAAGCCCCAAAAGCTGAAGAAGGCACCGGCACAGTAGAGCGTATATGGCAATTCGGCAAAGCTTGCCCAATCAACCAATGGGCCGGCCTTTCTCGGTGGAAGCCGGGTTCGATACAGGGCGATTGTGACAGTGTTGAGTAGTAGCATAATAAAGCCAATAATACGAATGGTCCAGGGGAATCCTAGACTGGGCAGACATTGCTGCACAATAACAGGGAGAATGACACCGCCGGTGCACGATCCGAGCGCTGTGAAGCCGAGAGCAAAGGCGCGGCGCTTCACGAAGTACGTCGATACCAAGGCCATGGAAGGACAAAATTGCAGACCATTGGCAAGGCCAAGACATACACCCTGCGAGAGAAAGAGCTGCCACACGCTTTTGCACTCGGCCAATGTGAAGATGCCTACCAGCTGGAAACATGCACCGGTGATATAGACAGGACGAAAGAGGCCAGCATCGGTAGCACACCCTGTAAAGGTACCCAGGAAGAAGAGAAGGAAGACCTGGATGGATCCAATCCACGAAATCGTCGAGGGTGCTATGCCAAGGGTATTCTCGTAGTACGTCTGATACACGCCAAATGATGTGAAAAAGCCGAACGTGGTAAAAATAGTCAAATGCGTGCAGAGGACTTGGATCCAGGCTGTGAGACCGCCGTCGGGTGCTGGACCGGGATCATAGGATGCAGCAGAGCTGCGCGACAAGATTCTTGCGAGAGCAGGCCCAGGAGGTTTTTCATTCCGTTGTTCCGCTGTTTCGCTTGCGTAGTGAGGGCCGTAGGTTGCCTCTACAATTTCATCGTCGCGCGTACTAGGCCATTGTTGCAGGTCGCGCTCCACTCGAGCGTCAGCGACGGCGTGAGTTCTCAGCTCTTTGCCCTCTTCTACTGGTCGATCGACGGATCGGGCCGTCATTCCCGTTGCTTACGTCTTTCTTGGAGTGTGGGGTAGCGCGAAAGCTTGAGTAGATGACAACTTATACAGCAAAGAGACCTGTTTTGTGACAGGAAAACTGGGTATGAGACAAGAGCGATCCAGAGAAAACTTCGTCGTGTCCATGACGCCTCCCGGAAATAATACACAAATCTATGCAAATCATTACCGCACGTAAGTAAGCGCGCTTTCTATGCAGGTTTACGGCCGGACCAATGAGATGCGAGCTCTGGCACTCTACCCCACCACGGCTCACACGTCGTGTCTTCCAGTAGTCGGCAGATAAGTGTAAGGTGGCTTGCATGGCTTGCACGGGCATGTGCTCTGAAGCTGCGGTAGAGGTGCACATATCATCGTTATCTGGTGCGAGCTTATCAGTGTGGTCAACCATGACGTCGCGTCTGCATCCACGACCACCACCATCAAACCTCCAACATAACGGGCCTTTCTTCTGCTCCAAGTTTAAATTTCAAATTCTATGATCCCACTGAACAACAAAAGCCATATTCGCTGTTCTCTTGTCTTGCAACTCTGTTGGTTTCCAGCATCAATCCTGTGCACAATTAGATTGCTTGTATCATCCTTTGCTTGTAGCAAACATACTGCCCATATACGCAGTGTCTATCTCATGTTCGATAAGGACCATTCATTTCACCCTGTTCCTACTCTCATCCAACAAATTCCAGCCTGACATCATACAACATGTCAAACAATACGGGTTCTAAATCATCAGATGACGGTAATCGAAATAATACAAACTGCACAGGATGCAAGAACTGTACGCTATCCTTGTATAGGTGTTATTTCGAGTCAGAGCTGACTTTGCGTCATTAATGCAGGCCAGAATTGTACGGACTGTAAAAGTGAGTACTCAGCTCGTTCTGTTCCACTCGCCAATCTTAGCAACTCCCTTTCTCTCGGGACGTTAACCGTATTCTTTTGTCGTTTCCTAAGGAATTGTCGTTTCTTAGGCTGTTCGGTGAAGAAAATACGTTGTGTGTTTCTTGAAATAAATCCGGTGTCCCGAGGCAACATCATACATGGGCAAATCGTTTTTAAATCGTTTTGGCAAACCTTAAAACGTTAACGCGTTTAAGCAAAAATCCTTATAACGTTAAAGCGTTTAACGATATAAACGATATAAAAACGATATAAGATACATCATGCCAAGACCGGGTTATGTCCATTCTAGAATCTCCTCTACCTCATCCCCTATCATCTCTGCTTCGTCATCTTGCTCTGGTTCCATTGGTAGACCCATTCCGTTGAGAGAACACGGTTTTATGTGGCCTTCCCTAAGCCAACTGCCAATGCACTCGATCTTCTCAATGTTGGCGCAAGTGAGCCTCGACCGATCCCATGAACAGGTTCTTCTTGCACCTGAGAATGTTCTCTCTGGCTCGGACGACTCTGCAGCGATAGAAAGAATAGAGATAGCCATGTTGCTTAGCCTAGGGTAGCGCTGCCGTTGCTCCGATCGGCACCACCATTCAAGAGGGCTACAGTCGATTTGTATTACTGGACTTTCTGCGAAAATTTTAAGATCGTCGCTGTTTGATTGATCTGCCGCCGCAACTGACATCTGTTGTAGAATCTGATCGAGAACGGCACCGCGTTGCTTTAAAGGAGGAGCCATTTGTTGAGAAGCTGTAGGGCTAGCTAAAGGCAAAGCGTCCTTAAACTCATTCACCCAAAAGTTTTGAGCAGCGTTAATAGCTGGTTCGTACCATTCGGCTGGCCAGTTCTTCTTGAGATATGCTGCTCTACTTGCGGGATTTAGAAGAATAGCGGAAGCGTACACCGGAACCTGATCAGTCATGTTGTAGTACTTCTCAAGTACGAACCAGCCCATCTCGATCGATCGAACCATGCGAAGGTCCTCATTTTCATCTTTAGAGTAATGTATCTATAAAGCTGTTAACCGAAGACTTAAAGTTCGGATAACACGTTAATGCTTACCTTTTGCTGCTCATAGTGGACTAAAAGAGAGTCCATAATCAAAAGAGATTGAGAGATAGACGATTTATCTCCCTCCGCGTATAGCGTTGCTGATGCAAATGGTTGTAAAAATGTATGTGCTTTTTGTAGTATATCCCAGTCGTCAGAAGTAAGACGGATCTCGTTAAGGTGTTTCTCGTTATCGTGCATAAAGACCTTAATTGCAGCCATCTTCTTAATAGCCCGATCCATAACTGAGTACCATGAAGACCACCGAGTCTGATTGTCAATCCCTAAGCGGAGGCCTACCTTGCGATCCCACTCTGCTGCATGTATACTTGAGTTGCGCAGCCAGACACATAGTTGATGTAATTTGCGTAGTGTAGAGATGTTCTCAATACCACAAAAGTCCTCATCAACAGACCCATGGCTATCAACGCTGCGTCTTCGGCGAGACAACCTTTGTCTCTGTGAGGTTTGTGGAACAGCTTGGGCTTGGGCTCTAGGGTTTCTCTGTCGAGAAGTAAGAACGCTTGAAAACTCTGCGAGAAGCTCTTCCCCCATAACATCCGTTACGGCGTCGAGAGCAGCGGTAAGAGCCTCCTTAGAGGATGCAAGCAGGAATGCCTGCAAGGATAAATTGATAATATGACCGATACATCGGATACGGCGCTCTTTAGCAGTAAATTTAACCTTGTTAATATTAGCACCATCGCGTAACTTAAGCAGCGAAGGCCGATTTTTATATTAAAAGCCATGCTTACGTTGTGCTTAGTTCGAAGGAGGGTTTCAAGATGCTCCAAACAGGTATCGTTAGATGTTGCGTTATCACCCGTATGCCAGCCAACTCTAGACTGTATCCCATATTCCTCGAGGGTTTGAAGAAGTAAGTGCGCTTGCTGTTCTCCAGAGTGGCTGTAACGACATTCTGGCAGTCCTAAAAGAGCCTTCTGAAGCTTATATTCGTGATCGACCCACTGTGCGCATACAGCAAGGAGAGATGAACGGAACGGTGATGTCCAGAGATCGGTTGATATGTGGATAGGACTCACAGCCGTCGATAAGCTGCCTTTAATTACATGGCCTTTATAAAGCTGATAATTCGAGGCGATAAGACGTACGGCTGTACGTCGACTTGTGATAAGCTGGTCTTCAATAAATGGATTGCAAGCAAGCGCTAGATCCCTCATTTCAGACCATTCGATTGATGAAAAGGCTATTCGACGTCGAGTCAGAAGACCGACAAGCGCATCGCGATACCCTTGTTCATTGAAGGCGTTGCGGATAATTGTCTGATCAGAGACAGTCCTAAACACTGAAGTGATAGCTGGTTGCGACGACGAAGAAGAAGTTTGCGAGGGCTGAGAAGACTCTGACGTTGTATGATATGCTAGAACATGGTGGATAGAGTTTACTCGGTGACTGCTAAACCATGAGCGACAGCGTTTGCACACATACTGCTTTTTCAAACGCTGGCGCTTTGCATTGCTGGTGTTACAGACAGTTTCGGTTCGTATAACAGCGTCAAAGTGTGGCGGCGTTGCGGGTCTTCGCGACGGTGGCGTTGATATCGCACTTGCTGACAAGGTATTCGATGACATAACGATAATAGATGCTATAGATAATGGATTTGTTGAGATTTCAGGTTAGTGGGGAGTGGTTGCAGAGTTTTTGAGATGCAAAGGTGGGGTGCTTGGCGCCAAGCCTCTTATAGCGTTTTTAAATCGTTCACGCGTTTAAGGATTTTCTTAAACGCGTGAACAGTTTAAGCTGTTAAAGCGTTTTAAAACGTTTTAAGCTAAAACGTTTTACGCAAACGCGTTAAGCTGCCCATGTATGGGCAACATTATATCTTCCATCTCATCGTGGGAATGATCCACGGATTACCCCACCAATTCCTTTGAACTCAATTCTCGGCTGTTTCTCAAATAGAAGCTGGCTTCTAACCATGGGACAGACTGCACAGAATGTCGGAACTGCACGGGCTGCGATGATTGCACCTCTTGCGAGAACTGCACGTTTTGCAAAAGCAGCAGCAGATGCAGCAATTGCACTAGCTGCAGGGATTGCGAGGAATGCCGGAACTGCACGTCTTGCGCTGATTGTAAAAAGTACGTTGAACCCAGGATACATCAATTTACTGATAACTACGAGATGAATCAAGTCGACTTTACAGAAAAGATACTGACCTACACAGCTGCACCAATTGTACGGATTGCACTGGGCTGAAGAATGGAAATAATCAGGTTGGTGTACACGAATAGCTGGCAAGTAAAAGGTCGGACATTTGATCAGATAGGGCGAAACATAATTTCCAAGACGTTATTCACGCAACTCGTGACCCCCTTAGGCTACTCTTAGTGGCAATACAACCTTACAAGCAAGTATTAAACATTGCCCTCAAGAATCCATTATTGTTCGTTCGACTTCGAGTTTTGCCGGCGCCCTCTAGGATTTCACAGTGCCATCAAGGCGTGTAATGCGCTGTGTAAGACATTGCCAGCGGGTCAACAACCAAACACGGTAAGTCATTCATTAAAAACGTAGCGGAACTGTTTCATTTTGTCGCAAACACTGTATTATACACTCGAAAGTCACTTCGAGCATTTACTTACTACTATAGGCTTTCCCCTCATGTCTTCCACAAATCACCCTCAGAAACCCAGCGACAAGCAACTCAGCAACCGGAAATGTTTCATTATGGGCCTTTCGAAATGCATGACACCCCCGCAATCCCAGCGTATTATGGCCCTACGGCCAGTGAACGACTTTGCGCCGCGTCTGGTGCCCAACGACAAGAAACGCAAAGCAGCCTCCAAGACTACGACGAAGCCTACAGACCGAACTATACTTCTTGCAAAGTCCGACAACCCTGCGATTCCAGATGTGGTTCTTCAGCCTGCGGCGCCACGTGAGATGGGAATGAAGGTAGAGGATCGTCTCTTCGACCGGCGTGGCTCAGAATTCGTTTTGCGCAAGTCGAAAAGCTGGGGTCAGTGCAGCACTTCCACCCGCTCAGCGGCTGGTGGTCCTGAGCCGCCTTCGCACGAAAAAACGGCGGAGGTTCACAAGGAGCCCTCGAAAGCTCAGACAGGTGCATCTGACAACACCAAGCGCGATGCGGAAGATCAGGATATGGATAAGGAACTGGATGCAACATCTCAATTTGACTATTGTGCATATATGGCTGGAATAAATAGCAAAGATTAGAGCCGGCAGTAGAGCTAGGTGCCTAAAGTGTCATTTCCACTTGTAGTTAGATCATGTAAGAAACTATTGCCCTCTGTCTCGCTGTCAAACCTGCTCTCTTGGCGTATAAACACTGAACCGAGTCAAGGCAGCAATCACCTACAGCCTTGCTTTGAAAATTTCGAAGCCCCCCTCACCTCCACTAGCGCCTCACATAAAAGCTCTTACTCTGACTTGCGGTCTCTCTAAACCAAACACCCAAACACTCAAGGCAGTCGCTATGATTACCCTCCTCAACTTCTTGTCCAGTATTCCCCAATCCATCTAGCGAAAGATGCTGGCTCTGTAAGTGTGAACGGTCTGTAGGTACTGTATTCCAGCTACCTATGTCGAGTCGAGTCTGTCCTACCGGCCTTACCACCGTCATAACCCAGCCTATCCTGGAAACCATACCCTATCCACCGTTTACAACTACACTCAAATGACTCAGCACGACTCTCTGACTCTTAGAGCGAACGCGCACACTACACCAACTTCATCACCGCAGACAGTCTGCCCAAAGACCTAGAAGGAATGAGCATTTCGCCGGCGCTACACAAGAAAAACTCGAACACCTCAAAGGTCTCCCAGAATTGAGAGTGACCCCACCCGAAGATGGCAACAGGAAACCTGGATGGGGGGAGGGTGGCAAGAAGGTCAGGATAGTGAGACGTCTGCTTGCGCTTTTCAAGAGGAAGAGCAAGGCAGGCAGGAAGAAGGCGGTGAAGGAGAACACCTGGATGTCAAAGGAAAATAACAACAAATAGTGGCGGAGCAAAAACTGAGCAGCCACGTGGAAAAGGATAGGAATTTTAATGGGTTTCACACAACCATCACGCTCAACCATGACTGTCCCCTTGATAATGTGAGCTAGAATTCGCCGAAGCAAGTATCAGATTGAATGTGCTTCTCATTGATGGCCACTTATAAGTGTCAAATACTGCTGAGGCGTACATTAAAAGTCGCCGCCGAGGTCAAATGCCCAAAAGTCCGGAAACGCCCAACCGTTCATATCCACCGGCATATCTTGCAGAGAGTCGGTGTATCCATTCAGATCTCCCGAGCCATTGCCAGCACCGAGGCCCATTCCAACACCAGCCATAGGCATAAAGCCACAGTTTCCACCCGTATGCGGTTCCTCCCTTGCCTCATCTCCCCCATTGAACCCGCCGGTGTCTACATCTGTCCCCTTGCTTCCCGCTGACGACACGCTTGCTATTGTGTCGCGTAGAGACGAGGCTAGACTGTTTTCCGGATCTTGCTGAAGAGCCAGTACCCTCAATGCAAGGTTTGTGAAGCCTTCAAGCGTCTTCCTGCATCGCGAGGGAATGTCGTCTTTGGCATTATTGATGTACGCGATCGAGGTTGCGGGTGACGGCTGAGATGGCAGCATGCTGACCGCGGCAGACATGAGCCCGTACTCCACGTATCCCGTACCCATGCGGAAGACCTTTTGTTCGAAGAGCTGCCTGGCGCGTTCTATGATCTCGATCGAAGACGTACATAGTAGCCTGACGACGAAGGGCTCTTCTGGGAACGTGACTAGATCGAGGGGTTTACTCGGTATCTTCCAGCGCTTGGCTATAGTCATATCTGCGATGTGACGCTGAGCACCTTTATCTTGCGTGTCTTGTGTGTCCATTAGGGGTGCAGACGACTTTGCTATGTTGCGAGCGCAATTGTGATACACGATCTGCGAAAGCGTCAGGCCGACTCGGATGACATCGTTGCGCATGTTGCTGAGAGCCAGGATGCCTCTCAACAATAAATCATCATGTATCGCAATGATGGAACTGCAGGTATCTATACAAGTCGTGAATGAGTACATGTAGCGATCATGTTTGTGAGCCAGTCTTGCATATGGCTTATGCAGCATGAGTAAATATTGTCGGAGTTGTAAACGGAGGAGCCCTGAAGGCAGTACAGCGGCCTCATCCTCCCACGTTGGAAGCACCAAGATTGCGGATCGTATCTGGCCGTCGAACTGTAACACATCGGCGTACTGAAGACCGCCAGAGGGGTTGTTGAGTAGCTGTGTGAGTTGTATGCGGAGTGGAAGCGATCTCACAGCCATGACAAGATAAGAGGCTGACGTAAAGTGCTCACTGGGCTGGCTTGTAGGTAGTTGCTGCGTATCACTCGAGAAGGCATCGTCGGAAAGGTTTGCAGGCGGTGCGGTGTCGTACGACAGCGCAGAGAGACCAGTGTGAAGACCAGATTCTACCGAGGACTGGAGCTCCAACTCCATGATCGTAGCCCATAATCGCCTTTTCATTTCCTCGTCAAATGCCGACGTTGCCTCGTGCCCTAGGGATGCAGCGTCGCGGTGCATACCAGATGCTAGCGAAAGCCGCAGGAGCTCGCCGGATGCAACCCAATCTTGCTTCATTTTAACGCTGTTGGCCCGCTTTGTGAGTAACGCCAAACATTGGATCTGGAAGAACTGCAGAGTAACACGCTTACGAGGCTGCTGGTTCATCCAGTTCTCGCATATGCTGAGGAGGTGGTTAGCGGCATGCCGGTCGGCAGTCGTATCCCCTATAAACATGTCATCTTTTGGTTCAAGGCATTTCGTGGCTGCAATGATCAAAACAAGTATGACGGCGAAGCTGACTTGAGGCTTGCTATTGCGATTGTCCTCCAAGAAGTCACTATATTCTCGCCAAAAAGTCGGCTCATGCAAGATTCTATAGCTCTTTTCCCACATCCCAAAGTAGACGACAGCCCGAGCTTCGACAATGCATTGTTCTGGTAGGGCTGCGAGGACCTCGGCATCTGCATCTTGGCATTTGGCGTTGCGTTCATTTGACAGCTTCTTCCTTCGATCTCGGAATTGCTTGAAATCAGTTTTGATGCGCAGGACGGATTGGTCCACAGTAAGTGCCTCAAATGTGAAAGCGTGCAGCTCGTGATACTAGGAAGAGGTCAGCTTCCATGCGATGGAGATGGAGATGGGCTATCGAGATTTACAGTGGAGATGGTACTCATCACACTGGTTGGTCCATGGAATTGAGACCTGAAGCCTTTGCTCCTGAACATGACCTCTTCCTTGAACTCCGGTTCATCGGCTACGACGTCTGAGTATTGTGATGACTTTTGAGTTCCAACTTGGACTGCCAGCCTCTGCTCGAGCATGGCTATCCGTCTCTCTTGCAACTGTATCTTCCACCGCAATACATCAGACGTGTCAGCGAGCGACTCGCCGTCTACAGGACGCGCCGCACTTGTAGAGGACGTGTCGTGCTCAGTCTGTGCGCCCGTGTTGGTACGTGTCTCTTGAACCAGTCGAGGGTCGTACGTGCATTCCTGACTTCTTCCGGTCTTTTCGCATCGCCCACACACCGGAAAGACGCGATCGCATTTCATCTTACGGCTGCGGCATGCGTAGCACGACAACACCTTGCGCTTCCTGCTGGTGCGCTGTTGTGGCGAGCCATGATGGTTTCCGGGCTCCTCAGGTGTATTCTCACGGGATCTATCGCTTATCCATTCGGCGCCTGGCGCAGACATGGCGAGCCGGGGTGATGAAGGTGCCCAGGTGATGAGGCTCGGAGCGCGCCGGACAAGCCGGACATGGCGGACTGCGCGCCGGGAACTCGGACATAAGACGGGATCAAAGACACCGGCAACTTTCCCGACGCCCGCCTCGCTTCACTACCTGCCCCTGTCTTTCATCCTCCACTTTCCGTCTTTTATCTCCCCTACCCCATGAGTTCTGATCAACGACTTGTCAGGTGACAATGTCGGGCGACTCTCGTAAAAGCCTCATCTTGAAGTGTAAATGAGCGGACGCCCACTCCGCCTTCGCTACCTCTTACGACTAGTAAATAGGCGAGAGTCCATGAAAGAGCTGTGGGAACGATATCATCAAGCCGACCATAACCACGGAAATTTCCATCACAACCAAATGCCGGCAGTCGTGAGACCCCCGTTAATTTGTGCAGGAGTACGGCCATTGGAAGTCCTTCAGTGCCAGAAGCGGGGAATCCTTGCTACCCCACAAGCAGAAACCGTTCATCACAACCACAGTTCTGCAGCCCTCTTCCAATTCGTCGGTTTGTATATTGATATCAGCGCAACCAACTCCTGATATGATTACCTTTTTTCCAGAATGACCAGGAGCCAGCTGTTACCGCAGCCCTCGGCGATATACTCTGAGGCTCAACAACGCATGCATCCGAGTGGTAAATTAGTTACACCGACTCCAGCATGTGTAGATAAGCACACCAAGATACTGATCTCACTGATCATGATGCCTGAGTGCCCGGAATCGAAGGGACGCATCACCTCAGAACCGCACCTAACGGATCTTGCGTGGTGAGTCGTAGCATCGGGCTTTACAATGCTCTTTCTCCCTAGACGACTAGGCAGGTGACCGCTGAGAGCTATATCACACCACCCACCACGTTTCTATGTGCAATTTCAAAACCCAGATCTCTGGAAACGTCCCATCCAGTTAGAGTACATCTATATTACTACGTGGCTACACAGAATGTGCAATGACTTCTAGAATTGAGATGGAATGTCATCTGGCAATCTATATCGCCCTCGGTATGGCCTGGTTATACCCAGGGCCTTACAAAGCGCTATATAGCGAATATCGGGGGCGATTACGGCGTCACAATGTAGATGGGCCAGTCAGCTTCGTGTTTCCTTTCATACGCGGTCCGATAGCACTATGTTTGCTTCTTTCTGGCCGGTTCTCGGTTCGTATACAAGTCTCATGAATATAACCAGAGCGATCGCCTTGGCTCCTAGACTATGTGTAGCTCACAAGTCATCAAAGGTTCAATCTATGGTCTATACATCTCATTTACTTGACCCCGTTTCTTCCGAACCCTGACAAGGGATAGACTAGAGCTGTTCAACTCTCGTAGTACATAAGTCCTGTGGGTCTAGCACGATCATGTTATTCATCGCAAAGGAACCACCGTCGACATCATGTATCGAACTATCGCCTCTGCAGCGCTTCTTTTCTCCGTGGCCCGCGGCCAGCTTGTCGGCACGCTGACAACGGAGACGCATCCAAATATGAGCTGGCAGTCATGCACCGCCAAAGGCAGCTGCACCACGAAGAATGGCAAGATCACACTCGACGCAAACTGGCGCTGGCTTCATCAAAAGAGTGGGCAAGTGATGGCCGTATCCCGACTTTTCCTCACGGCTAATTGATCATCAGATCCACCAACTGCTACAATGGCAACACGTGGGACACGACCGCCTGCCCTGACAACAAAGCCTGTGCGACCAACTGCGCGATCGATGGAGCTGACTACAGCGGCACATACGGAATCACAGCGAGTAGCAACTCTCTGAAGTTAAAGTTCATCACAAAGGGCTCTTACTCTACCAACATCGGGTCCCGTACATACCTCATGAAGGATGACAGCACATACGAGGTAAGTGTGGGGCTATCGCCACAGAAGTAGCAATTCCTGATCCATGCCCAGATGTTCAAATTCACCGGCAACCAAGAATTCACATTCGATGTCGATCTCTCCAATCTACCCTGTGGCTTCAACGGCGCGCTTTACTTTGTCTCTATGGATGCCGATGGTGGCATGAAGAAGTACTCAACAAACAAGGCGGGTGCCAAGTACGGTACTGGATACTGTGACGCTCAATGCCCCAGGGACTTGAAGTTCATCAACGGCGAGGTAAGGCAGACCAGTGTTCATGGATATCTTGTGCCATGCTAATAGTCGCTTCAGGGCAACGTCGAAGGCTGGCAACCATCCTCAAACGACAAGAACGCAGGTGTCGGTGGCTACGGCTCCTGCTGCGCAGAAATGGACATCTGGGAAGCAAACTCGGTCAGCACGGCCGTTACACCCCACTCCTGCTCAACAATCGAGCAGGCCCGCTGCTCAGGCGACACCTGCGGTGGAACCTATTCTGCTGACCGCTACGCCGGCACCTGCGACCCCGATGGTTGCGATTTCAACAGCTACCGCATGGGCGTCAAGGACTTCTACGGCAAAGGAAAGACTGTCGACACATCCAAGAAGTTCACCATCGTCACTCAATTCATCGGCACAGGCGACAACATGGAAATCAAGCGCTTCTACGTCCAAGGCGGCAAGACCATACCCCAGCCCGCATCCGCCATCCCCGGTGTCGACGGCAACTCCATCACGACCAAGTTCTGCGACCAGCAAAAGGCTGTCTTCGGCGACCGCTACACGTTCAAGGAGAAGGGTGGTATGGCAAACATGGCCAAGGCTCTCGCCAATGGTATGGTTCTCGTCATGAGTCTGTGGGATGACCACAACAGCAACATGCTCTGGCTTGACTCCACCTACCCAACTGACAAGAACCCCGACACTGATCTCGGAAGCGCACGAGGAGAGTGTGAGACTACCAGTGGTGCGCCTGCGGATGTTGAGAGCAAGTATCCTGATGCTACGGTTACTTACAGCAACATCAAGTTTGGTCCGCTCAACTCGACCTTTGGTTGAGAGATCCAGGCATGACTTGAGGACTGTGAATAGCATGGAGGAGAGAGGATGGCGGTGGAGAGGGAGGAGGAGAAGGGAATGATGGGTGTATATATGGATGGGCTTTGCCTGGAGGACTGTCTTGCTGTCCACGTCACTCGCTTCAATGAATACAAAGGATTATGGGTCTTAGTCTGTGTATAATTTCTTATGACCTTAGTCTTTTCAATTCTCATCTGCCTATATGTGTGTTCTTCTTCTATCAGCCACGATGGCGTGTTATTTTGTGTGAAGCATGCTAAATCTCAAGCCTATTCACGACGCTCTATCCGTAGTAAACGATATATCCGTATCCATGATCTAAGCAGTCTCCCATGTCTCCCTGTCCATGTTCGTTGCAAATAGTGTCTTCTTGTCGGTTTCGCCGTGTCTAGTCCATCCACATGTGAGGATATAGCTGCGGAGGGTAGAGTGCCTCCCTCAGATCCTGGAAGTCGAGGCCCTTGCTGCCGAGGTTGCCAGCCTCAATCGCCGCTTCGACAATGATCTCCCAGTCGAGCCGGTCCTCTGTGAATTGTTAGTACATTCAGTGTCCTTGCGCAAAAAGTATCCAGGGCAGACTGCGCTTACCGTAGACGACGAGCAAGCACTCCTGGGGACGGCGGTGGCTGCACAGGGTCTTTTCTGCAGGCACAACCCGCATGTGTGCTCGGCAGAAGTGGAAATGTTTGGCCCGGAAACATGCGACTTCGAACGTAGGTTGCGAGCATTGGATGTTGCTCTCCCCGTTACGTTTCTCCACGACAAAGCCACTTTATGCTGTTAGCCACTTTTCCTTTATCAAACTTGTCACTTGATAACTTACCAGGTCCTTAGGCGGTCTTCACGCTCATACCTCTTGTTTTCGGCGAGGATGGTCTCTATGACCATCGGAAGGTAGATGGCATTCTCCGTGCTCCCAAAGGTCGCTTGCTGTGCCTGGGCAGATGATGGAATGTAAGGAGCAGGTCGGAGGAGGGCAAGGTTGTGCCGGTTGTTGCTGATGTTGCTTTGAGGCTGGAGATGGCGGGTGTCCGAAAGTGAAGTTGAAGCAGTGTCATCGTGCGGTCGAATAGTACTGATTGAGGAGACTTCGCTGATGTTCGACCGAGAGAGCGAGTGTGACGGGGCAGGGGCGCCACATCCGATGGGCAGAGAAGCGCGAGGGTCCGATGCACCTCCACGGGCACCACCGCCGCTGCTGTATGCAGCTTGGGCCCGACCTGTGCCAATGGGCGGGAGCACGGCCGAGCCCAGTAACTGCCTCTGGTGCTGTTCTGCTTCTTCGAGGCGTCTTCCCAAGTTCTCAACTCGGAACTGACTAGCGACAGCGTGGGCCTGCATGGCATCGTGGTGATCAACAGCAGCAATGTACTCGCTACGGAGCTGCTGTATCTCCGCTGCCAGGGCCTGAAGCCGCTCTTGAACGCTTCTGTCGTGATGCTGTTGATTGGCCATATCGAATTATAGGCTAAGGCTATGGAGGGCGCGATGTATAAAGAATCAATGGAGAATAGAAAAGTGAGAGGTCATGCAGGAACCTTTATACCGAGCAGGTCAGGTAAAACACAGATTCCCTCGTGCACTTGGAGGCAAATTAGCGCACCATCACCAGACCTTGACGTCACTGACGCGTATGTTCAAGTGAGAGGGAAATTAAGCGGGTAAACAACGGTCACGAGTCAATTAAACAGATAGAGGGAAAGGGAAACTCTCCCATTCATTAGGAGGGCTCCTGACTGCCCAGAATTATTCTAGAGCTATCTATCCCTGGAACTCCACCGGAAAACATGTCAAACCTGTCAATCAGTCCGCCGCGAGCTGTCGGGGAAGCTCTCTTCCTCCTCAGGTTTCTATCGCACTGCCAGGAAAATTAGCCAATGTGAATAGAATTGTAGATCTTGTCATTAATTAAGACTTACTTGGCCTGGACCTCCTTGTGCTTAACAATGAAAGCTTCGAAACGGGCGAGGTCTTCCTCGAGCTCCGCAACGCGAGTCAAAATGCGAGTGTGGGGGTGGCCGCGCACATAACACGTCAGCTTGTCGGAGGCACGTCGAATGAGAAAAATCTTGATGTCAAATTTCTCCTTTGCCTCCTCGTTGAGAAACTTAACCTCGCCCTTAACCACCGCCCTAATGAGCTCGTGAACCTCCTGGACGTGACCTTCGGCACGACACACCTGGACGAGGTGACGACGTGAACGCACACTGTTCAAGAAGGGGATGAGGAAGAGAGGTGGTGGGTTGGATGGGGCTGTCATAGCTTTTTGTAGGTAGTTGACAAGGCTTAATGCAAAGGTAGATTCGTGTGTTATAGTTATGTTAAAAACTTTTTTGCCGGATAAAGCTGTACATGAGCGTAAGATCCCCCACAATCCATACTGCCTGGAATGGGCTAGCTTAATTTCTCTCACTCTCTTTGCGAGACCCTGCAGGCACCAGCTGTTTGCCCGCTGTTTTGCCGGGACAGCATCGCGTGTGGGCACGTGAACGCTAACAGCTAGCGCCTCGCCTGGGATATAAAAGCCTCTCCCCTCCCTTCCCTCTACTTCTTCGGCAGGACCGGCGCCAGTCCTATGGCTGTAGCTTCGGTGTTCATGACACTTATTAAAAGGACAAGGGACGTTAAGCAGGCGACAAATCAATTGTCGTTCTGTGTGCTCCTGTGTCCTACATTGACGGGCAAAGGCTTTAAGGAGGCGACACTTCTATTGTCGTTCTGTGTGCTCTCATGTCTTACATTTTATAGTATATGACTTGAACTTGGATCAATCATTTTCCCTCGTAGACTTTTACTTCCCTGTATTGGTGATACTTAGTGTTTTGTTTGCTTCTTTATGTTTTCATCACTCGTGATACCCTCTGCCTTGTCTCGTGTTGTCTACCACAGCATGGGCACACCTTAAAGTCCCAGGTGATGCGCTCCTGTCAGTTCTGATTGATTGCGAGCGTGTGTTATGTGGCCGCTGAAAGATTACAGCAATGCCTATATGATGGCCTCCGGCGCTCCCGAACGAGCAGAGAGGACAGTGAAGCCTCCAGTGTCCTTCAGCGCCGTAAGGCACACGATATCCTGCCTAGTTGTACGCCACAAAAGTATTATGAAGCTACGTAGCTCTATGCCACGGAATCGGAAGGCGTTGAACTGGTTCCTATTCTCCGATGTCTCGTCTTGCGCCCAACTGAACTACGCGCCCCATGCGTGAAGTCTTGACTCAGTCGGTGACTACTGTTTACAGTCAATTCTGGCTTGGAGAGGTGAACTCGTCGTGAAGGAAAGAAAATCAAGACACGTAGAATGTAGAATCGGATTACACGCTCGCTGGGCTGTGGTCGTTGGCCCTGGACCCAGGGATTTGGTTACCTAAGTGTCTTCTGACCGAAGAAGCGCCGTAAACCCAACGACGACATCTGGTCGTGATGGATTGCAAACAAGGTGGCGATTGCGATGGAAATAAATTTGGATGAATGGAGGGTGCACATGCTGCAGCTGCGGGTGACCACGCAGAGACTTTTCGCGCTGAACTTGGAGATGTCCAGCGCTGACAAGAAGGAAGGTCAGCAAGTGCGCAGCCATTTCCTCGTCACGATTAGAGAATTGATGCTTCCCGAGTCGTTTAATGATCGCATTGTTTCTCTATCTACCTGCCCAGGTGGTCAAAGACTGGAATGCCTACATAGCTGCCTTGCAAGCTGTGCACCGCACAAGGTGCTGAGTGTGACGCTTCATGGGGTAAGGACATCCCAGGTGCCATGTGGTGATGAGATGGTTCCTCCTCTTCTTTAGAAGCACCTTCTACACCTATCAGTGTCATAGATACGTCATGTAAACAGACTATTGTGATGGCCATATAAAAGGCCATCACCACAGCAGTACACACAGAAGATAGACATCAGCTTTTGCATAGCAATTTTCTCTCACTGCTTGGACTGTTACACTGAGCGCTTGGCTACCTAGGTATTCAGGACGAGGCAATTCCATGGTTGTCTCGATAGCTCCCCGTAGCTTTATCCTCGTGGCTATACCCCTTCTCCTGCCTCCTGATACCTCTCTGATCTCTTTTTGTGGTGTTGTCTTGGGTGCGATGCATTACAGCAGGCATGTCGACCTACCCCTTCTTGTATATGTCTTTAGGTGAAGACCCGTCAGGGGAAACTTTGCGGGCGCATCATCTTAGGAAGAGACATGTATCTTTGGGGCAACCCAGGTGGTGTCTGCGTCAATACCAAGGTGCGCAAACGCGACGGCTCTGTTGGTCTGTACAGAGCAGTTTCCACCTACCAGGGTGAAGGAGGCCTTGTGATCGCGAAGTCAGGGCACCAAGGCGCATGAGTTGCTGTAAGCTGCAGCCGGCGTAGTATAAGAACTTGAGAATGTTGGCCGCGTTTATGTACACATTGTGAATATTGTGGTAGAGGGATAGCCTCAATAGTCAGAAGAGAGGCTGCCGACCCGCAATCGGTAGAGAGTAGAGAACAAGAAGGTATCCGAACAATAAACGGTAGTATTAAGAATGGTGTACGATCACTGTCGAGCTCCTCTACGCGGAGTCGTCCTAAAATACTCAACCCTAGCGTCGATTACCTAACGCCGAACACGTGACAAGCTACTACACCACAATATATATAATAGTAGCCCTTTGAGCGGCCAGCGCTGTTACGGCGGCAGATGCCTTCACCCAAAGCGGGGTAAAGTAAACCAGTCTCATTGAAATCTCTGCTAAGATGCCCCTTCGCCATGACGGCCCGCAAGCTTATGTGAAATTCTTCTCTCACCTCGCAAACTGAGTGCTCCAGTAAGCAAGCTACCTACGCACACTATCGCCTCACTCGCTACCCTTCTGCCCGCTTCTCTCCTCCTCGATCAGACTCCGCAACAATCAATCCAGATTGGTCAGATTGATTGATTTGATTGGTCATTTGGAGTTTTTACCAACTCAATCAACTCAATCTAAGCTTTTCAAAATAGCTAATCAAATCAACTTGCGAAGGTCAGATTGATTGATTTGATTAGTTAGATTGATTTATTATTAACGAGTTGTAAGGCGAGTAGTGTCGTATTAAGAGAAGGTTTTTGGTGTTGAAGATAGTTATCTTGGACCCCTATCTCGCTTAGCTTGTGATCCCTGTCGGCCGGGCAAGCCAGTCTCTATGCATTCACTTCTCACCAGCTAGCTCTCCTCTTATAGGACTAGCTCCTTCTGCTTAGGGGCTAGCCTCTTCTAGGCTTCACCCCGCACCTATATAGCTAGTCCTTCGCTGTTCTTAATACAACAACGATTTCGCTCACTCAGTTCCCTAATAATCCCTTACACACAACACTAGTTGCCTAGCTACCTATACAGACATTTTTCTTTAGTGTTTAGTATCGCCCACGATGGCCAAACGCTCTCGAGTTCCCACCAATACTGCTGCCGCCGCCGCCGCCGCCAAACGGGCGCGCCTATCAAGGCCCTCTGTCCTATCTCAGCGATCGCTGTCGCCTCAGGAAACCCTTGGCGCCGCCGTAAGCCAGGCCACAACGTTTGAGTCGCAATTTTTCGAGTCGCAAACAGAGGAGGAGGGTGCGGCTGAGGGCAGCCAGGCTGGTACAGCAGCAACAACAGAGGCTAGTGTTGATACAGAGCCTGATAATGGCGATAACTTTGACGGCATTAACTGGGATCGCCTCCCTCGGTTCATGAAGCCTCTTACAACTGGGCGGCGCGTCAAGAGTTGGATCTTTCAACATGGATATCGCGTTGTTGAGCTCTACGATCAGAATCGAGTGTGGTTTGTATGCAAATACTGCCACATCCACAAGGTCATTGACACTGGCGGCAGTGGAGTTTTTGACGTATCAAAGGCCACCTCCTCAGCTGCAGCTCATCTTGGCCTTCAGAAACGAGGCCATGGCTTTACAAAAGACGGCCTGAAGCCTCGAAGAACAGGGCAGCAACTCTCTCTACGACAGACGCTGGAGACTGGTGTTGCAGTCTCTCAAGAGGCTGCCAACGCGATGGGCAACTTCAACATCCAGCAGTTTCGTGAAGTTGCAGTGTTCTGCCTTCTTGATAACAACTTGCCAATGGAGCTACTTGCAAGGCCGTCCTTTCGCGAGATGATTAGCCTTGCAAACCCAGAGGCAGAGGCAGCTTTGTGGGTAAGTCCTCGCAGTGTAGCTACCTACGCAATGCGCCTCTTCCAATATATGCAGCCACAGATTGTCTGCGCTCTGTCAGAAGCTGCAAGCAAGATCCACATAAGCTTTGATGGTTGGACGACAAAGGGTGGCAAGCGTGGATTCTTTGGAGTCGTTGCACACTTTGCTAACGCCTCTGGAGTGATACAAGATCTCCCCATCGCCCTCCCACATCTCGCAGGCTCTCATACTGGTGATGCTATCGCTGATACAATTAAAAAGACGCTCCAAGAATACAGTATTGGGAGTGATAAACTCGGCTACTTCGTCCTCGACAATGCTGCAAACAACGATACTGCAGTCTCCTCGCTCGCCCACGCGTACGACTTCAACGCTGCTCACCGACGCCTCCGCTGCGGCCCTCACACGCTTAACCTTATTGGCCAGGCAATTATCTTTGGCAGCAATCAAGAGGCGTACAACAACAACAACGACGAGCAGCTCCAAACAGAGGAGGTGTACATGCAGGAGTGGCGTCAAGAAGGGCCCTTAGGTGTACTTATCGACGTTATCAACCATATAAAAACGCCTCAACAACACGAAATTTTCCGAAGCTTCCAAACCGCCGCCAACGCCGAGTTGCCAGCTAGAGAGCGCCTCCACGTACTTGAGCCTGTGAAGCCTGTTGTTACACGCTGGAACTCTTACTACGCTGCCTTCAAACGCGCAACTCAACTCCAGGCAGCATACAACTCTTACGCTGAGCACTACATTAACGCACTCTCCCTTGAAGATCGCCGCGCTTGTCAACGTGGCAATAAACTCCCTGAAGCACCTAGTTGGATGAGATCAACAGGACTTACAGCTGCTGATTGGGCGGTGATAACAGAGTATCAGGACTGCCTAGAGCCGCTTAAGCTTGCTACGGAGAAGCTTGAGGGTCGCGGAAAGGCAGGCAAATACGGCGCTATATATGAGACTATTCCTGTATTTGAATACGTACTTGGCGCGCTCGAAGCCCGTACGCGCTCGTACGAGCAAGTTGACTTCAACCCACCTGATGCGCCTGAAGATCACCTCTTTGTTAACCTCCGCGCCGCCTGGAGTAAGGCCAACGATTACTACAACAAGCTCGATCGA